AGCACAGGTTCCCCCACCACGGGCTGCTGAGCTCACCACGATTCTCAGACGTGGCCCTCGGGCATTTCGGACCCTTAGGGGCTGTCCTGCGCCTCTGCCTCCGAGGCATCCCTCCCATTTCCCACCCCCCAGCTGTGTCTCCAGCTGTCTACACCTGTCCCCAGACCTTGCCAAGTGTCCCCCAGGGGACAAAGTCAGCCCCACTTGAGAACCCTGTTCTAGAGGATCAGAATTTCAGGTCAAGTCACAGTGGGAAAGTGGCTGGAATTCGGATACTTCCCATCCCATGTGCGCCCCATGAGCAGCCCTGGTAGCACCCACACAGCTGCCCCCACTCCCGCCCTCCCCGTCTGCTCTCAGATGCTCATGCGCATGCCAAGCCCCACACGGGTGCCTTTCCAGGAGCGTCTTGTTCTTTCTTCCACCGTTTTATATTCTACATCCCATAAATCCCATAGGCACAGTTCCCATCTGGTCCTGCGGGCAGCGGTCCTTCTGGCTTTGCTGGCACCCGGTGCCCTGGACTCGAGTGCAGTGACCGTGAGCTCCCGCTCCCTGGAACTACGTCCAGAGGTCTTTTCCGGAGCCTGGGTTTAATGCGGATCTCTCTAGAGAGCGTCGCTGTATGTTTCCACCAGGCACCTCAAGTAAGAAGTAGTCAAGACCACTGGAGTTTTTGCTGCTGTTTTCAGATGACAAGGGAGGTGCACGAGGGCCACGGGCCTATGTAAGGGGGTCTGTGCACCTGGATGCTCAGGGGGTCGTTCTCGCTCTCGAGGTCCTGTCTGGTTAGTGCCAGCGCTCAGGCGCGAGCCCTGGTCTGCAAGGGGGGTTATTTCCGTCCACCTCACACTGAGGGTGCGGCCCTGCGGGACCCTCACTGAGTGGGTGACCTCCGTCCTCTGAGGCCCTCGCTGTTATAAATGGAGCCTGGACCCCGTTCTTGACTTGTACTTGGTTTGTTGACCAAATGCAGCTTGTGATGGGATTGAAACACACCTTGCAGTACTTATCAGAGTGAATGACGGGGAACCCTGTCAGTTCACATAGCTTTTTCTTCCCACTCCCAAACAACAATCATGTTTGTTTTCAGTTTTAAATACTTGATTAAGACATTACTATTTCCAGTCCTACTGATTGACCGGACTCACAGTCTCTTTGCCGGCTTGAGGCTGTCTCAGCCTGGGAGGCTGCCAGGGTCAGAGTGGGAGGGGAGGCGATCCAGGCAGAGAACAGACTCGCTGGAACCGGTCTGCACACAGGTGGCCTCACTCTGACCCCTTCTTTCATGGTCAGCTGTCCTGTCTTCTTCTGGGTTACTGCAGCTGGAGACCGCAGCTGCACGCACTTACAGGACAGAGGCCTCCAGATTTGGGAGTTACCTAGAACTCTTGCCTTATCCCTGGGCCTGGTGCTGCACATTTCTGCTCCAGACAGCATCCCAGGAACCCCCAGACTAGCCCCTTTATCACATGGCCACACCTGGTCTGTAAGAAACCCTCTTGCGTCCTTCCTCCTAAAAGCCCCATGAACACAAATCCGTTCAGTGAACAGCCCCCCACCCCCACCCCGAGCCTCCCCAGAGCATGGCCATCCGGGCTCTCTAGAACTCAGATCCATAGCAAATCACAGCTCTTGGGGTAGGGCTTGAAGTGAAGGAGGCAGCATTGCCCCTACCCAGTCCTTTGGAGGAAGGGAAAGGAAGGGGATAACAATGCAGATCTTGCCCAAGTTACCTTCCTTCCAAAAGCCTCCCTCTCCTTCCTGTCCAGGGCGTGTTCTGTTCTCAAGGAAGGGGGAATTCCAGGGTGGACCAGACCTTAGTTATTGTTCTGAAATTCTGAAATTGTATGCCTCAGGTGTCCTGGGGACTCGGTAGAACTCAATATTCATTAATCAATCATGAAACCCCCTTTGTTCTAAATTCCCAATAACCCCTTTCTTCTACAAGCTGGGACCCTACCTCCTCTGTTTGCCCAGGAAACATGGCTCCTTATCCACGGGGGTCACCCCAAATGCCACCTCCTCCAGCTGAGACCGGCTTCTCATTCATCTGAGTCCATGTAGCATCTCCTTATACATTTCTTTTGCATCAAAAACTGCATCATGGTTGTCTATCTGCTCACCTTCTCTTCATGGGGCTGTGAACTTCTGCGGTCAGGAGCTGGGCCGCAGTCATCTTTGTGTCCCTAGGGCTGAGTATGGCCCCAGGCACCAGGAGGTTTCCGCGACCACTCGTGGGACCGAGGTGACTGCTTGTGGTCAGCACTTGCTTATAGGCTGCAGCAGCATAGAATGCAATGTTGGGCTTCTGTGTTCAGGGCAAGGAAAAACTCAAGGTCACCTGGAGGCTGTTGACCTTGCTCCCCTGCTCCCTCCCCACCATCAGGACAGGGGCCTTTACTGAGCTCCCCCTTTCCCCCAGGATTTGGGAGGGATGCCTCTGGTTATCAGGGTGGTCTGACCGTGGCCTGGAGGTGGTCATTGTCTTAGCACCGGAAGTGGTGGTAAATGATTCTTAGAGATTTTGATAAACTTACTTCACCAGGTTAAAGATAAAGGCAAATAGAAATGTTCTAACAATGAAATTATTTCTCCAGTTGAAAATATGAAAACTTTTTTTTTTTTTTTTTTTTTTTTGTCTTTTGAGACTCCAAGTTCAATTGAACAGTTTGGTTGCACTCAAATGTGGGGGATGGTGAATGCCCCATAAGATATTTCCTTTCCAGTTCTGTTACACCAGGTCAACATGCTCTTGTGGTAAAACCCAAGCCCTGATCGAGGCCCACCCGAGGGTTTTGTTGTGACTAGGATGGCCCTGAGATGTCACAGTTGTCATGTGGTACTCCCGCCGGCTCCCCCAGTGAAGCATGCTAGAGCCGGCCCCCTCCTCATTCCAGGAGCTGGGGACAAGCCGATGTCCGGTCAGTCAGCGGCTCTCTGCCAGAGCTTAGCTGCAACCTGGCATAGGTCTGGCCCGTCTTTGCCTCTGTGTAGAACCAAGATGCCTCAAGGGCAGCCAGGGAGAAGGGGAGTCTTTAGGTGGTACAAAGCTGTTTCCCAGAGTGGGGATAATGGCCCTCCGGCAGAACCCTTGAGGGAAGCAGGAACCAGTTTCGACATGCGTATTTTCATCTTGGAGATGCACGATGGGGACACAGAGCATGAGTGAGCCCAAGCTCTCCAAGCAAGGACGCCGCGCACCAGCGGCCACTCTGAACTCCGTGCTCACCACTGCCCAGCCTGCGGCATCCGTATTTGTCACACAGTACTGCGTGCATGGATGTTTCTGACCTTCTCCAGGGTTGGTGGCCGGGCACTGACCTCGTCTAACCCTATTTTGAACATCGCACGCGCACATCGCACCAACAGAAGAGGCCCTAGAAAAAAAAAAGTGTTCCCCTTTAAGGCAAATCCCCTCCAGAGCCTGCCTCGCGACACTGCGGGGCCTAGGAAGTCACCGGTCGGGACGGTTTTCTATATACGGAGCCTGAGGTCGTGGAGAACGGATGTCTCGTGCTCCGAGCACTTCCAGGGGAGGCTGCCCCGGACCGCGTGGGGGTCCGTGCATCCCGGGTGGCGACGGCTGGACCAGCGGGGCCGGGCGCCCCAGGGCAGAGAGCGGTGCAGAGCGCGGGCGAAGGCTCCAGGAGCCTCTCGGATTTTGTTTCATTTTCCGGAAATGTCCGCTAATTGACAAAAGTTTTGCTCGGCACCGCTGAGCATTGAGCCCACGTGTGCCTGTGGCTGTTTTAAGGGAAAAACCTTAGGGACGCCCCCAAACCAGAAAACGGCCCAGCCGGGCCGCGGAGCAGCGCACCAGGCCGGCGCCCGCGCCGCCCGTCCCGCAGGCCTCAGCGCTCCTCCGCGGGGCTCGCCCGGCGCTCGCCGCCGAGGCCCCCCGGTGCGGGTGTGGGCGGGGGGCGGGGCAGCGCGCCGGGAGTACTCGGAGCGAGCCAGGCGGCGGGGGAGGCGCGTCGGTGGCGCTGATTGGTGGTAGTGGGCCAGGTGGGGCGGGGCCGGGTTGCTCTGCGCTCGTCCTCTCTGGGCGGGAGGAGGAGGGGGAGGGAACGCCTGGGTTGTGCGGTTGTTGACTGGCCGCAGTGGCGGAGGGCGGGGAGGGGCGGGGCTGGCCCGGGCGGGGCTGGTTGTCCCGGGCTGAGGCGTCTGCAGGGGCGCGGGAGGAGGAGGAGGAGGAGGGGGAGGAGGGAGCATCTGATTGGCGGTAGTGACTGTGGGCGGGGCGGGGCGTTGGCAGCAGCAGCAGCGGCGGGAGGAGGAGGGGAAGGAAGTGGCATCTGATTGGCGGTAGTGGCTGTGGGCGGGGCGGGGCGGGGCTGTGTGGGGCGGGGCGTTGGCTGCAGCGGCAGCAGCGGGAGGAGGAGGGGGAGGAAGAAGCATCTGATTGGCGGTAGTGACTGTGGGCGGGGCCGGGAGGGGCGTTGGCGGCCGCAGCAGCAGCGGGAGGAGGAGGAGGAGGGGGAGGAGGACGAAGAAGGAGCATCTGACTGGGGGTTGTGACGCTGGGCGGGGTGGGGCGGGGCGGTGGCGGCTACTGCGGCTGCCCAGAAGCAGGAGGAGGAGGAGGGGGAGGAGGGAGCATCTGATTGGCGGTAGTGACTGTGGGCGGGGCGGGGCGGGGCGGGGCGGGGCTGGTCCTTGCTGAGCATCGGCGGCCGCAGCGGCAGCCTCGGAAGCAGGAGGAGGGGGGGAAGAGGAGGAGGAGGAGGAGGGAGCGTCGGGGGCGGCGGGCACTGATTGGTGGTAGTGGCTGGGGGCGGGGCGGAGCTGCCCGGGGCTGCTCCCCGGCGAGAGGCTGCGGTGGCCGCGGCAGCAGCAGCAGGAGCGGGAGGAGGAGGAGGGGACGAGGGGGAGGACGAGGGGAAGCAGCTCGGGCGGCGGGCACTGATTGGCGGTAGTGGCTGAGGGCGGGGTGGGGCGGGGCGGTCTGGGGCTGGTCCTCGCAGGCTGCAGGAGGAGGAGGGGGAGGAGGAGGAGGAGCGCGGGAGGAGGGAGCGCAGGAGTCCGGGCCGCGGTGGCCGGCTCGGCCTGCCCTTTGTGCCCGCAGCCCGCGCCCCGCGCCGATGGCCGCCGCACCGGGCTCCCCCGCGGCGCGCACCCGCCCGCGGACCTGACCCTGCGCGCCTGGGATGCGCCGGGAATGCGCGTCCTCCGGGCCTGCGGCTGCTGCGGGCTGGGCGCGGGGCGATGGACCTGAGCATGAAGAAGTTCACCGTGCGCCGCTTCTTCTCCGTGTACCTGCGCAAGAAGTCGCGCTCCAAGAGCTCCAGTCTCAGCCGACTCGAGGTAAGCGCCGTCGCGCCCGGTGCGCGCAGGCACCCAGGTCCCGCCGCGCCCGGGGGATGCTGCGGGCGGCGGAGCCATCCCGAGCCCTTTCTATTGTCACATGCACGGGACGCACCGACTCAGGTCAGGGAGTTGAAGTTGTCGGAGAGCCCGTCCGGCTTTCACCGGACCGAACGCCGTTGTTGGGACTTCGCCATACTGGACCGGCCCTCGGGTTTTCATCCGAGGCTTAACCCTCCCATGTGGAATTTCTAACTAATTTTGCTCCCGGGGCCGCGCAGGTTGCGGAGCGGTCGCTGTGCCCAGATAGGTGCTCGGGGTGGGGAGGGCGTTTCGGTCCGTGCAGCTGGACCGCGGCTCCGTGGGGCACCTCCGAGGTCCCACGGACAGAACCTCCGCGGCGCTCCCCTCGGCCGTGGGTCGAGGGCTGGGGGGTGAGTTTGTCTTTCGGTGGCCCCCAGCCACGAAGTGCTACCGTATGGGGCAGATGTTGGTGTATTTGAAATCAGTGTAGCGTTGCCCGTATCTATAACAACCCAGTCTACGCGGGCCGGTCTGAAACGGTGCTCAGGATCAAAGCGCCTGGTGCAGCATCCCTGCAGCCCCGGGTTTGACAGAGATTTGCCCTGAAACCCAAGGACCCTGAAAATTGTGTCCTTTACTCCTGTCCCTCGTCTTGTCATCTTCGGGTTTCCAAAGTCATCTGTGGACCGTTCTCTGCTGTGTTTTTTTATTTCTGCCATCAGATCTTGTTCTCTTTGTCCCGGTGTCCAAATTACATTGTTGAATCTATAGATGACCAAACGGTGGAACGTGTTTAAGTGAAAGAGAGGGAGAGAGGAGAGAGAGAGAGAGAGACAGACATTGTGATGTTGGGGGGAGGGGCTGGCCACACAGCCTAGCCTTTCCCTTTGACATTGCCCTGGCCTTTACCAAAGGCTGGCACCTATCTCTGTTTTGACTTGTTTCTAAGGAATCAAATGAATTGGAACAATGTGACATTTTTCGTCTGGGATTTCTTTGTCCCGGCTGCCATGATATTCGATACAGGCATGGGTTGTTACAATTATCAGGTCTTCAAGCAAAGCTCTGGAATAGACGTGAATGCAACAGGGAATTGCTTGTGGAAAAAGTTTCTGTTATGGTATCACTAAGTCAGGTTTGGACCAGATAGGCTCTTTGTCGCTGCTTTCTGAGGGTAGAACATATTTTTCAAACAAATACAACTGTTAATCAAATAATGGGGAGGTCTTGCCTTGAATTTCACATTGACGGAAATTAAACACGAGTTAGTGAGATAAATCATCTTCCTGGATCTCGGGCACTTTTTAAAAAGCTAAAGTTGATAAGAACAGAAAGCCAGAACACTATTTACCTCTATGCCCAATAAGTTTTTATCATCAAAATGCCAAGTTTATTATACAGCTCCTTGTTTCATTTATTGTCCTTGCCAGTGGGAGGCACACGGGTGGGCAACCCCCCAGTGCTCTTCAGGAAGACCAGCAGTAGACACAGGCAGCAAGTTGATACTGGGCTGAACTGGTGGACGGTCAGGAATCCCATCAGCACGACACACTCCGCTCCGGTGTTGTGGTTTAGCAGGGAGAACTGGGTTTGTGCCTCAAAAAAACAACATAATGGGAAGCGAGAGGGGGATGGAAGAGAAGTTTCTTCAATGTGAAAACAAAATTTCTAAAAATCATAGATACACCAGGGGATAGGCAGAAGGTCTGTCTGTTCCTGACCAGAGAGGATTATCACATTCCTCTATCAGCACGTAATCAGCGTAACCGGGATGGTAGGCGCTGGAGAGAAGTGCTGAGAAGGATGGTCCGCTGGGACGCAGTGCTCTGTTCTCTACGGATGCATTCCCCTGTCTCTTATGAAAACTCAGATACGCATGTTTTACAGTCCTCATTCTACTGAGGGGGACTCAGCACGCCCCCCCGCCCTCAACAGGGTTTTGCCAGAAACTTGCCAACTAATTCGTTCTGCAATTGCTTTTTAAAAGCCTGCTGTGTGTTCAGCCCCTTTCTCAGCCTTCTAGATCCAAAACCACAAGTCCTGGAAGTCCTGGCCTCATGATGCCTCCACCTAGTGGGGGATCTAATAAGTGACTGACCCTGTGCTTCTGTCCAGCAAGTTCCATCTTCCTGCCCAGCTGCCTCTCCATCTTTTTCCAGAGAAGCCTGTTTATGCACTTGCATATCCACAGCATATTGTAGGCCAGGGATCACTTCCCCCCAAAATCTAAAATTTTGGAGGGGTGGGGGAGGTCTGTCAATAGTTTGAGCTTGAGTAATGGGACACATAAAGCACTAGCACAGATGTATTTTTCCTGTTTGGACTGATGAAAAAGATTGCTCATTTTGTAAAAATAAACATTTTTTCATTGTTTCTGTGATATTTATTTTGTAAAATATACACGGAGATTGAAAATGTTTGTTTTTTGAATTCAGAATCTAGTGCCATAAATAAGAAAGTGACAGTGGTTACTTTAAATTGAAAACACTATTCATTAAAATGGCCTTCAGGGAGAGACTCCGTCTTAATGTTTTCATACTTGCTTTTAAATTTAACTTGAATCTAGACTCTGGCACTTGGTAGTCCCTAGCCAACAGAGAAGCCAGATTACTTAATCAGATTTGGGAACAGTTTATGAATTCCAGCTTAAATATTTTTAGAGTGTCTCGGTGTTGCACCAACTGAGATGGCCAGATTGTTGACTCTGGCAAGCATGATTTTTGGGGTTTCTAAAGGGTAATTGGGTATCTTTCCTAGACTTCTTTGTGCATGTCTTAGCTATCAGGTTTCATTGTCTGACCTTCACCCGGATTTCAAGGGCATTGACATGACTGCCTGAGGGGATCGGCACCTACCTGGAAGGTGTAACTGGCTCCTGATTCAGCAGTCCCTTTTGTAGATGAGGAAACCAAGCCCAGGGAAACCAGAGGACTTGCCTATGCTCCTGAGCCTAGACTGTTTTAAAGGAAGTTCTTGCTGCGAGAGCATGTGCCGTCTATGATTATCATAGCCCTTCTGGGTCATGTGGTTACTGGAGTTTACCATGTAGTAGATGGGACTTGAAGGAAAGCTATTGTAATTATTAAAAGGAAATTACTCTGAGGAGTATTTTGGAAGGTGCTGCACAACCTAGGAGAACCTCTTCCGGAAGTTGGAACGTTCCAGGTGAACGTTGCATACCCTCGGCAGGTGAATCTGGGCTTTATGTCACACCCACCGTCTTTCATGGCAGGTGGCAGCTTTGTCACCTCCATGAGCCCCTTCCCCTCCACTGTGAGATGAGCTAGGACTTCCTGCCGCGTAGGGTGAAAGCGATAAGCGTAAGCTATCAAACGTAAAGACGAACACGGAGTCTGGATGGTGGAGCGGCTGGTCAGTAGTTGTTAGCTATGGACACTGACGAATATTTGCTGGGCTTCGTGATGGTTTTCACAGTGCTCATTGTCTCCAGGCAGTGTGAGCCTGCGGTTGCCCCCGTGGCCTGCAGAACCCATGGCTTGTGCTGTTTCAATAAATGCACGGCCTGGTAATTAACAGTTTAGACGACCTTCCTCTGTAGTTAGGGGAAGAAGAGGCCAGAGATCGCTTCTCCCAGGCCTCCTTCTACACCGTCACTTACTAGGATCGGCCCCGTTTGCTAAGATGGAGTTCCCGGCGTCTGGCTGGATGGTGATACCCCTCTTCCTTATCTTATCATCACCTTGTGAGTCAGCTGCACCAAACCATGAATGCATTACCAGTTCAGGCCCCAAAGCCATGGCCTCATGAGCTAGGGCGGCTTCGAGAGTCAGGAAACACCCCAGCATCGGCATCCCAATTTCAGGAGCTTCGGGACGGCATCCTCCTGGGCTCAGCCTTTGCTTCCCAGGAGAGACTCCAGTGGTCTTGCACTCCAGCTCCAAAGCCTGGGGGCTGTGGAAGGTTTAGAGGGGCTGACTAGGAAGAGCTTGGGGGGGGGATATGGTTTTTAAATTAATAAAAAGTGATATTATTTACACAGTACGGTTTATGTGCTAGTTTGTTAAAGGTATCAGTGCTCAAAGACCGTTCATGTCAGGAACGGTTATTTCATCTGGAGTCCCCAAAGCCAGGGAGTCGGTTTTCTTTGATTACATATCATTTTTGACATTTTACTGGAAGACGGCTGAGGGTGAGTGACGACAAAATGCAAGTCCTTTAGCTGGGATACGGAAAAGTGGTAAGCTGCTGAGTGGAAAAATTTCATTTAATTTTGTACTCGCTCAATTGTTTACATGAAGAATTTTTAGCATATACTGTGCTGAGCAATTGGTACTTAGGACGTGGTCTTCGTGTGGCCTCTGCCCTCGATGAGCTGGACTTCTAGTGAGAGAGGCAGACCTGGGAAAGGAACCTACTGTGTGAAATTTCTGGCATCCCTGACTTAAACAGTCTAATTATATCAATCGCCAATTAATTTCTATTTCCCATGGTTGCAGGTCACCAAGATGTTGCCTATGTGTACGTTTGAATATATTTCAATTGCCTACCCCTTTAAAGGGAAGCATAATGTCCTAATAAAGTAAATGCTCAGGAACTCTTAGCAGATCCTGGGAGTGATGTTGGCTCTGGTCATGGAGAAAAAAGAAAGCTTCCTGGAAAGATAAACATTAAGGCTTATTCTTGGTGCTTGATAGGTAAGCTCTTCCTCTAGAACTTGGGTGGTTTCCCAGAAAACCATTTCTAATTAAAATAATTTTCAGGTACTTTCAGTAAATGCACCCAAAAATTCTATGGGAAGCCTGATTTTTATGTGGCTTTCAGACCACAAGAACAACAACGAAAATCAGAGAAGAACACAGGAAAGATTCATATTAATAAGTATTGAAGGGGCTCCGGGGGGCTCAATCTGTGAAGCCATTTGCCTTCGGCTCAGGTCCTGATCTCATTCCTGGGATCCAGCCCCACATCGGGCTCCTGGCTCAGTGGGGAGCCTGCTTCTCCCTCTCTCTCTGCCT